TAAGTCATCCCTAAGGTCTTACGGTGATAAAGGAACAAAACCTCCGGTTTATTAGGCCAATCCTGTATCATATTCACGCCCTAAATCACAAATTTCTCTACAATTACCCTGCAAGCATCAGAGTTACTCACTATCTAATATTTCTATCCCTTCAAGGTTAGACAACTAACAAATCATGGTTTTGGCCACGAAGGTCTAACTTTCCCTTTTCCCCAATGAATTCCACGGTTAGATTCACAATAATAGATTTAGGCCACGAAGGCCAAAGATCTCTAATTCTCATATCCACTCTCAAAACCCTTAAACCTTAAATCGACCTTAAATACATTGAAAGTTACATATGGAAAATCATGAAGGTAATACTCCCCATACCTTAATCGTCGACTCAAAGCCTTCTCAAATCTTTCAGGGAACCTTTCGGAGCTTTTGCCTCAAATCTTCCTCCTCAGAGCTCTGGCCTCAATTCTTCTCACGGTCTAACAAATGAATCCTAATCCCTTCATAATTTCCTTTTTGTTAAACCTAGTCTTGAGCCTCAAATTTGGGCTTTCCCATAATGCCCTCACTAACTCCTCTTAATTGTCCAATTTGCCCTTATTTAACTTATATTTATTTTAATTGATAATAATACTAATATATTCATATTATATAATATTAATTAAATAAATAACCCAAAAATGCATAATTCTCAATAACTCCACAAAACCACCAAAAATCACTGAAATGCGAATATTCTTATTTGAATAAATTAAATAAATATTCCAATTAAATTTGGGGTGTTACAGAGACTATGGTCACATAAAGCCTTTCTGTTATAAATTGTATAGAAATAAAATATCCTCAGTTCAGTCCCAGGATAAACCATTTAGCAAAAAGAGAAGTGTCAAAGATAGGAGTGTTAACCTTATAGTTCACACATCCTTAAGAGCCTTAACTAGAGAAGACTGGTACTTTGACATTGGATGTTCTAGACATATGAAAGGGGTGCAGAATTTGTTGATGGATATTAGGTCCCTGCCCACAGGTGCTGTCAGATTTGGTGGTGGTGTTAAAGGAGAAATTAAAGGAGTTATTAAAATGATGGATATTGGATCACCTAGGTTGGAAGATATTCTTCTTATGAAGGGACTAACTGTTAACCTCATCAACATTAGTCAGTTGTGTGATCAAGGTTTGTTAGTCATTTTCTCCAAGTCATAATGTCTAGTCAAAGATTAGGAAAATAATGTTCTGATGAAGGGTATAAGGTCTAAATATAACTGTTATCTTTGGGAACCTCAGATAACTGCTTACTCTTCCACATGTTATAAAACTCAAGAGGATGAACTGAAACTGTGGCACCAGAAACTTGGACATCTTTGCCTCAAAAGAATGAACGAAATCATATCTATAGGAGCAACTAACGGAATGCCAGATCTAAAGGTTGAAGAAGGGAAAGTTTGTGGTGAGTGTGAAGTTAGGAAGCATATCCTGATGTCACAGCCCATGTTGCACCATCAAACAACTTCAAGAACACAGGAACTTCTCCATATGAGGGTTATAGGACCTATGGAGACTGAAAGTTTGGGTGGAAAGAAGTATGTCTATGTGGTTATGGATGATTTCTCTAGGTTTACATGGATAAACTTTCTTAAATAAAAATCAGACATCTTTGAAGTTCTTAAAGTTTCATGTCAAAGTGTTTAGAAGGAGAAAAAGAGTAGGATTGTCAAGATCAGAAGCTATCATGACAAGGAGTTTAAGAATTCAAAATTCACTGAATTCTGTGAGTCTGAAGATATTAGTTATAATTTTTCATCTCAGCTAGATGGAGTTTTTGAGCAAAATACCATGGATATACGAGAATCACCTAAAACCATGCTTCAAGATAAGGGTTTGCCATTTCAATTTTGGGCTGATGCTATAAATACAACTTGATATATTCATAATAGGGGTCACTCTGAGAGAGGGCACTTCAATCACTCTCTATGAGCTATGGAAAGGAAGAAAGCCTACAGTGAAATACTTCCATTTTTTGGAAGCAAATGCGATGTTCTGATGAACAAATATCAAAAGGGTAAGATGGATACCAGAAGAGTTGAAGGGATATTTCTGGGCTATTCTTCAAGCAACGGAGCTTTTAGAATCTTTAGCTCCAGAAATGATATGACAATGGAATCTGTCAATGTGGTGTTTGATGATTCAGAACAAAGGATGGATGTTAAGTACAATGTTGGAACGTCCTCTATGCAGACTAGTCAGACAAAAGAGGAAAGCTGTAATTTCTATAGCATTATGTCAGGTAACTCTCAAGATGTTTCAGATCTCTTTGGCAAGGGTCATTCAGTTTAACCCAAGGATCTCATTGCAAGACACTCTATAGAAAGAAACATTACTAGGTCTACAAAGAAAGTATCAAACTCATGTCTTGTCTCCAAGCCTGAATCTAAAAGAAGTCCTATTGTCCAAGAGAAGAAGATCTTAAATTGCTTCATTGGAACACGGGGTTGTGATATGGAGTACTTCTACAGCACAAAGTCTATGATAAAAGAATTATGCAAGGAAGAATGTGTGAATGATATGACAAATAGTCTGACTGCCTTAATTAACAAGAAGCAAACATATGTGCCTTGGTGTACTAATAAAGCTGAGTGTGATGAAATTAGAAGGGGTTGCCTTTAATTAGTGTGGATCAAACAGATAGTGAAGAAACATAATGACAAGGCTGATGTTTTGACATTATACTGTAAGGATCTGAATGTTATCAGCTACTTCATCTAGAACAAGAATTCTGACAAGTACAATCAACTAATCAGGAGTCTTGATAAAGGAAAGGTTGCTATTTTGAAGAGTGTAGGCACTAAAGATTAGCTTACTGTTATGTTTACCACTGCCGCATGAAATTCTGGTATACAGATATCACATGTACCAAGAAATGTTGAGACATTGATCCGTGCTTTACTAAACAAGAACAAAACAAGAACATTCTGATATCTCAAAGTCATAACAGTGTCATGACAGATGTTTCAACATCTGTTAACATATATATTTTAGAGCATAAGAATAGATTGAATTATACATAGCAAAATGATAAAAAAAACACAAAGATATGATGACCCAGTTTGGTGTACAACAACACCTACATCTGGAGGCTACTAAGTCAGGAATGAATTCACTATCAGTAGTATTAATTCTAAGTATACAACTTTCGGTAACTTATCACTTAATTTCCTACCCAGTGCAACTTCTATCTAGAAACCCATTTAGATAAGAGAAACCCATCTCAATTCCTAAATCACCTCAGTGATATCTAACAGTCACAACCTCTGGTGACTGTGTCAAACTATTCAATTGAAAGACAACCCTTTCAACACAATATTCAGTCAATACTCTTGACTATTTTCTTAAAAGCTTCATCCAAGAAAAATATAAAATTCATTACCTACATGTTTCTGAATATGAAAAACTATGTCTACCACAATGTATCAAACTGATACAAAGGGTGACTTATAATACAAGAAAAACACACGACTCTCAAAACCCTAAGTCTTGGTCTTCCTTTTATAATCTTCAGTTGTCCATGGGCTTCGAAATCTCTGTCCAATCATTCCTTGATCCATGTTCTGGTTGCGCCTTAAATCTTGGAACAGATCTGCAACAAACTTGTTGTATCAAACCAAGATGTCGAGTCCTCAAGACAGGACATCTTGTATGACATGTTGTTCTTTACAGATATCTTCATATTAGAACATCTTGTTCAACTTCATGTTTTATCAAAATTTAGTCAAATATTAAAGCCTTCAATCTCCCCCTTTTGTATAATAAACCCAGGAAATCAAGGAGTAGAAAGATTAGAAAGTCCTGAAGTCATTTCAGCTGGCCTATGATGAGTTTAGCATAAAATAATGTAACTCCTGGAAGCTTTCATTATTCTTGTACAGCTGATTGGATGATTTACACGACACACACCACCTGTTGTATGATGTGTACCCTTTTCCCTAGTGTACATGTGGAGGAAGATACAAGACACTCCCCCTCAAAACCAATCCCAATTTACCCTTCTCCACTATCCAGATCAAGGCTCAGTGGATCAAACCCCAACTCTAGATAACTCAAAACACAAGACACAAGTATGTTCATAACTCATATCACAAGACACAAAAAGAAGACCCAGAACAAAAAGAATTGAGACACAGACAGGATGTTAGAACATTCTATCCAACATTCTATCTAAAACAGCAGTCCTAATGTGCGATAGTAAGAACTTGAGGAGCAAGAGTTATGGACTGGTCAAACGGTCTAATAAAATTGGCCTAATTTTGAGGCTCAATCGACTCATTCAAACTGACGAATTGGTTATTACTGTTGTTCTTATGTAAGTGTGACTTCTTGTCACATTAAAGTACATTTCACCACACACTTGAATTTTTTTTTTTATTTCTTTAACTTAAACGTTAAACGTTAATCGGAGACCTTCTAAGATGAACTTTGCCAACCTACTACCAATTTTATGTTCCACTCGAGCTTTTGTTTAACATTGCTTTTTTTTTTCCCGTAAAATAATTGCTTGAATTTTTACTCTTTAACGTTTAATATCCTACACATTTGTAATCTAAAGTAATTAAAAAGTTGGTCTAATAATTATTCCAGGGGTTATCTTTAGTGTCTAATAGAGTGTCTGGTAAAATAAATACACATATTTAAGGGAGAAATCTAATGGTATAGCCTTATAAAACATATCAGCGCAGTGTACGGTGGAACATCTAATTTATAAAGTTTACTAGAATAACATCCTCAAATCTATGCCTGTTATAATTATCACTCAACAATGAAATACCAAAATTGGTTATTACTAAATTTCAGCTTATGTTATCCGTTTAAGAAGGAAAGATTTCTGGCATGTGTATATATAGAATCAAAGTCACAAGTTGAAAAGATAGAGATAACTCTACCAGGAATTTGAAAAACACCTCTAGGAAAAGAGGAAAAAAAAAAAATTTGTATAGTTGTTTTATAGGAATATGGAAAGTACGCGTAATAATGTTAACGGTGGTCGTAACCAAACGAAAAGAATTGCATTTCTTGGTATCTCTTCCATTCTTGTTGTTGCAGTGATTGGCATGGTTGCGGTCGGTTTAACACGCAGCGGCGGCTCTGTAGAACAAAATGGAAAAATCTTTACCACACAAAGAGATGTTGAAATGTTTTGTAAATTAAACCCAGATTGTAGAACGAAACACGGTGGAGCATTTGGAAAAATAAGAGACGTAAAAGATCGGATAAAAGGTGTGTTCGGTGAAGGGATAGGAGAGTTAATGAAAAACATAAACAATCCAGCTCTTTCTAATGAATTGGTAAAAGACAAGTTGACGAGACAAGCCATGCGAATTTGCGATGAAGTGTTGGGTAATGCTGTTGATAAGTTTAACAAATCTGATGGTACATTCCATAGATTTGAATTCAATAGGTTGGGTGACTTTGTTTTTGATCTTCAAGTTTGGATGACTGCTACGCTTTCAGATCAACTAACATGTTTGGATGCTTTTGAGAAAGCAGACACAAAAGCTAGTCAAAGAATGGCTCAGGTTTTGAGCACTTCTATGAGATTAAGCAATAATGCTATTGACATGCTTAGTTCTGTTTCTGGATTACTTCAGGATTCCGGACATGTTCCAAGGGGTCTTAACAGGAGGCTTTTACCTCATGAATCGGAAAAAGTTGTTGATGGTTTTCCTACATGGGTTAGCGAGGGACAAAGACGGCTTCTTGCTGATCAAAGTGTTAAGCCAGATGCTGTTGTGGCACAAGATGGTAGTGGAAACTTTAAAACTGTTGCCGAAGCTCTTAAGACTGTTCCGGCAAATAATCTGAAACCTTTTGTCATTTATGTTAAGGCTGGTGTTTATAAAGAGTTTGTTAATATTCCTCTGAACATGAATTATGTTACCATGATCGGTGATGGTCCTACAAAAACCAGATTCACAGGTAGCCTCAATTTCGTTGATGGCGTCCTAACTTACGACAGTGCAACCTTCGGTAAGTATAATATATTGTCAAATGTATTTGGTTCAAATTAGAGTATTGTATAATTATTTGATTAAGTTGTATATGTATGGCAGCTGTGAATGGTGAAAACTTCGTGGCAAAGGATTTAGGCATTGAAAACACAGCAGGACCGACTAAAGGGCAAGCTGTGGCACTGAGAGTTTCAGGAGACATGGCAGTACTCTACAACTGTCAATTAGATGGTTACCAAGACACACTCTACGCCCAATCCCTACGGCAATACTATCGTGATTGTAGCATCTCTGGTACAATCGACTTCATCTTCGGCGACCCCTTTGGAGTTTTCCAAAACTGCAAAATTGTAGCTAGAAAACCAGCAAAAGGCCAAGCTTGTTTAGTAACAGCTGGTGGAAGAGCCTCAGTGAACGCCCAAAGTGCACTTGTTTTCCAAAGTTGTCACTTCTCAGGTGAACCTGAATTAGCAACGGTGTCACCGAAAATATCTTACCTAGGAAGACCATGGAAACCATACTCCAAAGTTGTGATAATGGATTCAGTCATAGATGACATCTTTCTCCCTGTAGGTTACGAAGCATGGCCGGGAAATGTATTTACCGACACCTGCACTTATTTCGAGTATAACAATAAAGGTCCTGGTGCTGATACGAAAGCAAGAGTGAAATGGCCTCATGTTAAAACTTTAACTGCTGATGAGGCTGCTGCTTTTTACCCTGGAAAATTTCTTCAAGTTTCTGGTACACCTTGGATGACGAATTCTGGGGTACCTTGTTCCCTTGGTCCTATGAGTGGTGGTTCCGCTTCTGAAGCCACGCCTTCTACTCCTTCTGCAGCTTCTGCGCCTTCTACTCCTTCTGCAGCTTCTGCGCCTTCTACGTCTTCTACACCCTAAGTGATCTTAATTTTGGTTCATGTTAAGAACAAAGCCAAGAGCGCCTTATCCATGGGATTTTTCCGCTTACGAAATAAATTAAAATTATAGGAATAAAGTAGAAGAGTAGAGATGAAAGAAAGAATTTGTGAATAAAATGTTAGGATTCTTACACTTGAGATATCATAATCTCAATAGTAATAGCTTATAACCTTATTGAAGTTTCATTGAAACTGTTGTAAAATGTAAATTTGTATCACTTCATTTAATGAAAATTTTGTTTCAAAAAATGTGGCGATTGCTTGATACAATACTATGTTTATTTGATTACAGATGAGAAATTTTAATGTTGAACAAGTTAGTAATGATAAAAAGTGATTATTTAATTAAGAGCAATGTCTGTACTGTTTTCATCATTTAGGAAACAGTTTAATTTTCTTGCCAGGATCGATGAATTCTAATTTCTTGTGTTGATGTAGATTGCTTGACAGAAATAAAAAAGTGACGAAATCGTGTTAGTGTCGAAATGTCGAAGTATGTTTAGATAGAAATTTCGAATTAGGTTTAATTTTGTAGTGTTAGTAAAATTAGATATTTTGCGCCTTATTTTAGGAACAAACAAGCTAAAATTTATAAATAGGGAGTAATCCTATTATAAATTGTAACGCAACAAAAATACTATTGGACAGTTAAATAATATTTCTCAGTTTGAGAAGTAGAGAGAAACTCTGCAGAGAATTGATTTACTCGAATGAAGAGTGAAGAACAAACGTGATAATCAATCAAAAAGATTAATTTTTTGTTCATCAAAATTTAGTTCTAAATTCATGTTATAGTGAAGTTTTTGAACAGAAATCAAGTGGATTTCCAACAATCATCACAATGTCGTAATATGTTCATTTATGTCCAAAATGTTTTTCAAATGATGTTGTGATTAGGGGGGCAACAGGTTTTCCAAGCGATAGTGACAATCTTTATGTTATGCATGTCTCCACTCCAAAGCAAAGTTCCTCAGATTTTTCTCCATTTTATAGGCAAATAGGGAATTGTGATTGAGTAGATGCGCTACATTTTTTATTAAGTGAGTCCTACAAGCAAAGGATAAAAGGACCTTTTTTCACTAAACTAGCATTATTTTTCATTTTATTAACCAAAATATCATACTTTTCCTATTTATTACTAAACTATCACATTCTCAAACAATTCATTTTTGTTACTACACTCTCGCCCAATGCTTTGGCGGATCTATAATTATTTTAAGAGAAACGCTAACCAGTGTTCTTAGGGCACTTTTTAAAACTTTAAATAGTAAGTTTTTATAAAAGTATGTGTAATGATGTGTAATAATGTGCATTGGAAATTGAAGTGTTTAAATTTTTTAAAGAATAATTTCTTAATATGTAATGTTTAAATAGTGCCCTGAGAGCACGGGTTAGCAAGACCCTTCTTTTAATTATTTTCTAACTGCCTGCGAATTTTACCTCAGAAGTATCTGCAAAATTTTCTGCGCAAATATTTTGATACACAATTTCCAACGGATTCTCTCTATATATGATTTTTTAAATAAATTTTTGTTAAATTCTGCAGGAAAGTTTGCTGGAAGTTCTGCAGGAATTAGTTTTCAAAGAAAAATCCGCGTGAAATTCCATTAGAATAAGTTTTCAAAAGAAAATGTGCAGCAAAGTCATATAAAATTAAAAATATATAAAAATAGAGGGCCCGCCCATTCAATTGGTGGGTGCACTTCAAAATAATATTTTTTTAAAAGATGGTATTTTGGAATTTATGAGAAAAGATATAATAGTTTGGTATTTTAAATGAAAAAAGATGGTAGATTTGTAAAGAAATTAGATAAAAGAGCCGTTTTTCAAAATAAAATTTTGTGCATGATTTTATCAATGATTGGTTGAAAGTGACGGACTTTAGGCTTACCTTTTTAAATATTGGAATTTCTAAGAATAAAAAAGGCATGTATCCTATGGTGAAACAAATAGAGTAAGTTATGTGATTCAGTCTAGACTGAGGAATGAAACTACCATAAATTGTGATTTTTGAGGATTGATGAATTGGTTTGAAATTTAGGTGTGGATCTATATGTTGTGTAGTTATAACCATCATTTCAACTGTCACTAATTATAATGAAGACTCTCCACGACACGGAGGAAAGTAAAAGGTATTCGATGACATAGATCCTTGTCCACTCCTTCGGTTTTAGGAGAGACTCCCCCGAACATCACATGGGGAAAGATTAGTGATAAAGAACTTGTGGTCAGCGTAGATAGAAACCCATATAACCCTTCTCCTTATCAGAGTTTAAGGAAGCAGAAAAAGTAACTTTTAAAAATGCCTTCACCAGAGAATTCAAAAAATATATTACCTAACAAGAGCTCTAGAAACCATCCGGAATGGACACCTATGACAGGAACAAGCGATTCAGACGACCAAACACTACTATAAAAGTAGATACAACGACGCCACCATTACCACGGTCCTTTGAAGGACCATGGTGATATCTAAAATTTCATGCGCCTATGCAATTTTTAATATTTTAATTAAACATTTTTTATTTATTACCACAGTTTTTTAAAACAACCGTGGTGAAAAGTCTAATCATTGCATCATGGTTTTTCTTGTCAACCGTGATGAAAAGTAATATTTTTTAATATATAAGCGAAAGCATCTGTCATTCAGTACATAGCAGTCGTTTCTCTCAAAAGAAAACCATAACATATTTTACTCTTCTCTCTCATAACATAATCCTAACATCAATGTCACGATCTTTAAACATACTTCAACCTTCAGATTCGTCTTCACCAATCGCTACCTTGAGATTCATTCATTAAACTTATGTTTTGATTTCGTTTACGTTTCTTGTTAAAAATTAGTTCTCATTTTTTCATTTGGTGAATGCTCTCGTTTTTTTCATATTCGTCTTCACCACCTTAACAAAGCGCATACTTTGGCTATGGTACATATGATTTGTGTTGCTATGAAAAAAATACAAGAAGTATGAAGTTATTGTATAAACTTCATTCACCTTGTATTTCTTTTTCATAGCATCATAAACTAGATGAACTTCATAATTTGTTCCAGTACCACGATTAGATTAAAAGAATGTGTGTTCTTAAAATATTTTACTACATCTTGTGTTGTTGTATGTTGTTGTTGTTGATTAATGTTCTCAAAACTCCATAATTTGTTGTTGTTGTTGTTTATTATATCTTGCGTTCTTGAACATTTTTTTATTTTGTTGTATGTTGTTGTGTTGTTGATAAATCTTGTTGTATGATGTTGTTGATTAATGTTTTCAAAACAAGAACAAAACATTGTTAAGTCACAAGAAAGAGGCTTCTTGTGACTTAGCAATGTTTAGTTCTTTAAGTTCTTATGCAGGTTGCGTAGTAGATGAAGTTGAGTTTATCATATGTTATGTAGATTGTTTATTTCACTAACCCTTCACTGAAAATACATTTCATTAAATTGACATAGAAACTTATAATCTTAAAATTAAATTGTATTTGAAAACTAACTTATATCAATTAATATTTTCTGAATTGCATGCTTCTCATCATTCATCTCACATTATTTAACATATAGAATATGGTTCAATGACTTGATTCCTTCATTACATTTATATCTTCTCTTATAGTTTGATTTGAATAACAACAATTTATTGGGTAAGTCTACCTCGTCATCGTCGCTTATCATCGTGATTGTTATGATGATAAGTCATCATAACAATCACGATGATAAGCGACGATGATGAGATAAATTTAGCCAATAAATTGATGTTATTCAAATTATACTATAATAGAAGGAATCGATGACGTGAAGGACTTAGACCGTTGAACCACATTTTATATGTTAAAGAGCGGGAGATGAATGATGAGACGCATGCAATTTGGAAAACTGTGGTTTGCTTAAGTTAGTTGTCAAGAATAGTTTAATTTTTAGATTATATACTTCTTCATCAATTTGAATGGTTGTATTTCTTTAGTGAGGTGTATGGAAAAACAAGCAATTCACATATTATATAGTAAACTTTGGGTACTTTCAACAACAATTATATATTTTATCTGTGATGAAATGTTTTTTATGTTCTAAATAAATTGTTGTTGATGGGTTTCGAACCGAGTACCTAAATGTATATATCACAATGGTTGATATAAGTAATTGTTATGATAGGTAGCGTGCGTCCTGCCTTATTATCACGATCGCGTGACCATGGTGGAAAGCACCAGACATACAATCATCCCTTACCTTACAACAGTTGGTCAGGCGTTGTGGTAGCCCTTTTTCAACAGTTGTGGTATGAATTTTCTGTAGTAGTGATGTAGAATTGGTCAGCTTACTCCTTAACTCCAGATGCGCGAGAGGCCCGGAGAAATGTAAGTTATAAGTCTTTACTCCAGAGCAAAGTTCTTAGAATTTTTCTCCATCTCTTTTATTAAGAAAATAGGCAACTAGTGGACTGTGATTGAGTAGATCATCATATTTTATGCTACATTTTTTATTAAATGAATCCCACCAACAAAGAATGAAAGGGTAGTTTTCCAAGATGAAAACTTGTGCTTGATTTTATTATAAATTGGTTGAAAGTGGCAGACTTCAGGCTTACCTATTGGAATTCCCAAGTATAAGAAAAGGCATGTATCCTATGGTGAAACAAAGAGAATAAGTTATGTGATTCAACCTTGTCTGAGAAATGGAACCACCATAAATTGTGATTTTTGAGGATTGGTGAATTGGTTGAAATTTTTTATGTTATGCATATCTCCACTATTTTTTAGGAGAAATGGACAGAGATCCATGCAATCCTCCTCCTCATGAGAGTTTAAGGAAGAAGAAGAAGAAGTGACGTTTAGAAAGGCCTTCACCAGAAGATTCAAAAAATCTCTTACCTGATAAGAGCTTAAGAAACCACTAGGAATAGGCACATATGCCAGGAACGACCGTTCTAGACAAGCATGTGGAATTGGTCGATATACTCCTCAACTTCAGATGCACGAGAGGCCCAAAGA